TTAGTTATGAAATGATCCAGTTAGATTTCAGTCACTTTAGGAATTTACCACTTACTCGCTGTGGGAATATGCAGGTATGTAAATTTCTGAGCCTTGGCTTTCTTCATCTTTTTTTTTTTTTTTAAGAATTTAATTATTTACTAGAGAGCGAGTGAGAGAGAAACAGCATGAGAGTGGAGAGGGTCAGAGGGAGAAGCAGGTTCCCCGCTGAGCCGGGAGCCCGATGTGGGACTCGATCCCAGGACTCTGGGATCATGACCTGAGCTGAAGGCAGTCGCTTAACTGACTGAGCCACCCAGGCGCCCCTTGGCTTTTTTCATCTACATAGTGGGGATGATAACCTAAATCAGAGGATGGAGATAGGAGGATTAAATGTGACAATGTAACCTGCACGTAGTGAGTGAATCCTTATTAAAAGGTAGTGGAAAGGGGCACCTGGTGGCTCAGTCGTTAAGCGTCTGCCTTCGGCTTCGGTCATGATCCCAGGGTCCTGGGATCGAGCCCCGCATCGGGCTCCCTGCTCCGCGGGGAGCCTGCTTCTCCCTCTCCCACTCCCCCTGCTTGTGTTCCCTCTCTCGCTGTGTCTCTCTGTCAAATAAATAAATAAAATTTAAAAAAATAAAAAATAAAAGGTAGTGGAAAGCTACAGACATACAGCCGAGGTAATGGTGGCCCAGTAAATAAGCAGAAATTAGGGAATGTGTATGCCTGTGGGTTGGGAAGGAAGAGAAAGGGGAGGATGGCTGCTCTAGGATAAATGTCAGTCTCCAAGACAAGGGCAGGGGGAAGGACTGAAGTGAAGAGGTGGGTGTCAAAGGTGATGAAGACATCTATCACAAAGTCTGGGTGTTACCTGTTCATCTAACGGCCCCCACCTTCCTAGCCACGTGTCCTGCCTTGCCCTGCTCTACTAGATCCACTAGGATCCCACAGGGAACCTGGGAGGGTCACTCAGTTATGATTTTGCATTTTAACTTTTTTTTTTAAGATTTTGATTGATTGGGCGCCTGGGTGGCTCAGATGGTTAAGCGTCTGCTTTCGGCTCAGGTCATGATCTCAGGGTCCTGGGATCGAGTCCCGCATCGGGTTCCCTGCTCAGTGCAGAGCCTGCTTCTCCCTCTCCCTCTGCCACTCCCTCTGCTTGTGCTCTTCTGTCTATCTCTCTGTCAAATAAATAAATAAAATCTTTTAAAAAAAAATAAAAATAAAAAAAAGATTTTGATTGATTTATTTGAGAGTGGGGTGAGGGGCAGAAGGAGAAGCAGACTCCCCGCTGAGCAGGGAGCCCCATGCGTCTTGATCTAGGGACTCCAGGGCCATGACCTGAGCCGAAGGCAGACACTTAACTGACAGAGCCACCCAGGCGCCCTACACTTCAAGTTCTTGAGGGAAATCGTGTACATCATTAAGTCCCACCACACCATTTTATCAGTGAGGGAACTGAGGCCCAGAGTGAAAGACGGACTTGCCCCAGGTCATCGTTCTAGTCCTGCCTTTGCCACTAACGTGCTCCTGTGAGGCTTTGGGCAAGTCACTTTCCCTTTCCGAGCCTGCAGTTTCCTCCTCTGTAAGATGAGAGGTTTGCAGTATTTAGAGACCGAAGTTGCCTCCAACTGACTTTTGCTGTATTAAAATAATCATTCTTTCTACCACTCTCAAGTGTAGACGTTGGATTCCTCACTCCCTGCCCCCCTACCTCCCCCCCCACACCCATCTCACACACGAAAAGTCAAAAAAAGACATGTTTGGATACCTTTTGAGCTTAAGTTTAACCGAGTGCTAGTTTTCACCGGGGGTAAGGACAAGAAGAGAGTGGTCCCACAGAAGAAAGTGCTGAATGCTGACGGCTCCTGGGCGCTTGCCCAGTGTGCCCAGCCGCTGTGATCCGGTCCCTGCAGGGCTAAGCACTGGCAGCACAGTGGGGATAAATAAGGCCAGCGATCACCCCTTACATGGCCATCCCCAAGCTGCCCGGAATCCCTGGGATTACGCAGACTTCTGGAGCTCTTGGAGCAAGTGCACATCACCTGCTGCCGCCACAAGTGTGCCTGGGCTCCGGCAGCCTCTGTCTTGTGACTGAGGAATTTTTAAATGGAAGCTCTGAGCTCACAGAAAAAGAAAATGTCTCCCTGATGTCACCCAGTTGCTGCCAATTCATCAGCTCAAGTTAAAGGTCAAAGAGGGGGAAGCCACTGCTCCACGGTCCCGTGGCTGCTCCCTTGGACGGGGCTTCCCTTCCAGCAGGCTTCCCACCAGCCACCCAGGCCGGGCCAGCAGTGGAAGCCAAGCCGAGAGCTGTTTGCATTTCCAGGGCACGCACAGAGGCAGTCCTGACGCCGCTTCGCTGCTTCTGCCCTTCGCAGACATGAACCGATCCATCCTCCCGGCCCTCTCCCGCAGTGGGGGCGCACCCTGCAACCCGGACACAATGCCGGTCTGAGGGGCCTTCCCCGGGATCGCTTCCAGGCTAAAACCAATTTGGCACAGAAGTTCCTGGGGGTATTTTAATAACTAAATGCTGTGCTCAAAGAGCAAAGAGTAGGAGCCCCGCGACTCGGGATGACAGCCTGCTCCCATGGCTTCCTAGGAGGGAGATCTTTGCAAGTGACTGAGCCTCTCTGAGCCGGCTTCCTGACCTGGAAAGTGAGGTGAAGAATACTTAACCTCCCAGGGCTTTGCTGAGGATTCAATGTGAAGCTCTGCTACAGGGCCTGACATGTTGTAAGTGCTCAAAAAAATGTCAGCTTGGAACCAAGACACGCAGCGAGAACTGGACAAATCACTTAATCCCTGAGTCTTCACTTCCTCATCTGTCCAATGGGGTAAGAAGCACATGTAATTGACAGGGTCGCCCTCAGGGTTCAGGGACACAGATACACAGCAATGAACACAGCACCCAGCACTGGAAAAATAAATCGTGGCTGCTGGGACTCCCCTCTCCATCAGTCAAACTGGGATCTGTAGGGACGGCCTGCCGTAGTCATGACAAAACACCTTCTCCAAGCCTGACACGGTCCTCGGCCCCCTACAAGTCATAATCCAGAGTTAAAGATGAGACATGGGAAAACATGTATATATATGGTTCAAACATGGGCACAGAAACAAAATTTTTTTAATTTGTTTTTAGGGTTTTCCCTTTTGGGGAGACTGTTTTCAATTGTGGCCTAAGTTTCCAAAGAGAAGAGAGAGATGATAAAAGTTACACGGGTGAGAGAGAGGATTAAGTGGGCCGACCACAAGGAACCAGTAGATGGAATGGGAAGTGACGTCAAGGAGGAGGAGGTTGAAATAACTGAGTAATAAGATAGCAGTGGATTTCTCTAGAATTGGAAGGGACCACAGACTAGTTCTCTACTTCAAATGTAAGGAACAGGGCACCTAGGTGGCTCCGTCGTTAAGCCTCTGCCTTCAGCTCAGGTCATGATCCGAGGGCCCTGGGATGGAGCCCCGCATTGGGCTCCCCGCTCAGCGGGAAGCCTGCTTCTCCGTCTCCCACTCCCCCTGCTTGTGCTCCCCCCCCTCTCTGTCAAATAAATAAATAAAATCTTTTTTTAAAAAAAAAGATGTATTTATTTGGGAGAGAGAAATAATGAGTGGGGGGAGGGGCAGAGGGAGAGAGGAGGAAGCAGACTCACCGCTGAGCAGGGAGCCTGATGCGGGGCTTGATCTCAAGACCCTGAGATCCTGACTTGAGCTGAAACCAAGAGTTGGAGGCTTAACTGAGCTACCCAGACGCCACATGCATCTGACTCTTGATCTCAGATCAGTCTTGATCTCAGTGTTGTGAGTTCAAGCCCGTGTTGGGCTCCACGCTGGGTGTGGAGCCTACTTTTTAAAAAATATATATATATTTTTTAAGTAACAAATGTAAAGAACAGCCCTGGAAAGACAATGACAACGGCCAGAGCTGCTCAGAGTGGCTCACCGTGCTCACCCAATGCTGAGTGTGGTTCTCCTTCTTGGGCACCGTGGGTGCCCCCAAACACAGACTTCTGCCTCAGTGATTGACTGGAGGCTGCCCCCTGCAATCCAGTCTGCAGTCAACCCGAGTTCTCCCAAGTTCTCCCGAGTTCTCCCTCCCTCCTGGTATCCCCCATCCTCCGCTTCTGGCCCAGGGATGTTCAGGGTGAAGTTTTTCTTCGGGGCTCCTCATTCCCTCTCAGTACACTCTCACAGTGTCCCCAACAGGTGAGCCCTGGCAGCCTCTTCCTGCATCTTTCCTCTTACCCTTAAGACAAAGGCGTTCAAGGCTCTTGGTTTTATATTTCCACGGGCTATTAATATTTTAATGACAAGACCTAGAGAGTCGACATAAATATATCACATTCTGTAAACATTTCTTGAGCCTCTGCCTAGTTACCAGACACTACTCTAGTCCTTCTACTTTCTCACTGCTAGCCTATTAGCTTCCCAGAGGCTTCAGGTAAGAAATAGAGAATCACAGTGCGCGACCCTCTGCACCCTCCTGCCCTTCAAATGCGGCCAACGACCAAGTGTTGTGAGATCTTTCTTCTGTCTCCCACACGTGTTTCTCCCTCCCTGTTTTGACTGGGCACCTCACCTCAGCCCTTCCTAGTCTGTCATTTGTACCCCTGCGTCCAGAGCCTCAACCTTCCTCCAACCTATTCTGCACAACTGCATCTTCCTCAAAAGCCTCCTTCATCGCCTTATCCAACCCCCCCCCCCCAACTCCATCCAAATCCTTTGATGGCTCCCCCCCCCCCCCCAGTTTCATTCAAGGTTCTCTGTGACCCTGCCCGAACTCTCTGGAGTGGGATATATTCATAGAGCCCAGCCTCACCCAAGACAGGGATCTCAGGGAAGGAAGGGGGGGGTCTGGGTATCAGTCTGACTAGAGGGCTGTGTACCCAGGAGGGCTTTAGCGCAATGTGGCCGCGCAAAAATCTGAATCATAGTCAACGAGGGCAGCCAAATTCCTATCTGGGAAATCAGGGCAGTCTGAAGGGTGAGGCCAAGCCGTAAACAGAATGAGTAATGAGGTCAGAAGCTGGTGGGGACCAGAATCATGTCTAGATGCAGTTCAAGGAAACGGAAATGGTACAGGACTGAGGCTGTGGATTGAATTATAAGAAGGTATGCTGCTCTACATGGGGATGGGGGCGGGAAGATCAGCCCTCGAAATCTCTCCTCCCTCTGGCTTTGCTCTTTGGGTTTTCATGTGTGTGGAAATGCCCGTCTTCCCTGCCCCGCAGTTTCCCACGCCTCCCAGGGCCCCAGCACTGCCTAGTGACTTGTCCAAGGTAGTGTGGTGGTGGATGTGGAAACAGAGCTCCGTCTCCCACCTAACAGGGGATGTGCTAGGGAAGCAAGCTTAAACTCCTGCTCCTCACATCTCCACCTCTCAGATTCCTCAACTGTAAAGCGAGGACAACAATAAAGCTACTTCATAATAGTGTTACATAATAATAAGAATACTCTGAGGATTAGCCAAGCAAATATTTGTAAAACGCTTAGAACAGTGCTTGGCACATAGTAAATGCTGTATAAGTGTTAGTTAAATAAAAATAAGGTGCACAGCTGGTAAATAGGGCCAGTACTCAAAGTCAGTTCTAATTTTAACGTTCGACTCCTTAGATCCTCCACTAAGGTCAACAGCAGGTTATGATGGACTAAGCTGACTATAGGGCTTTCAAAAACTAATTTTCATGTCAACAAAGAATAGAAAAACATGCTTTTGGCTTATTTTCCTCGGGCCCAACAGAAATATCACTTGAGTTAGCACCCTTTCCTGTTCTTAGGAAACCACTAAGAAATCCAGATGGACCAGTTCAAATAATAGTTTCCAACTCAAATTTAATAAACCTTTCAAAAAAAAAAAAGTCAAACTTAGAAAATGACTGTGGGTTCAGGAAAGAACAGCATAGGAGTGCCTGGCTGGCTCAGTCGGCAGAGCGGGTGACTCTTGATCTCAGGGTTGTGAGTTCGAGTCCCCAGCTGGGTGTAGAGATTACTTAAAAAAAAAAAAAAAAAAAGGACCAGTGTAGATTAGGGAAGCTGGGCTTAGTCTGGCAAGGGTCAAGGCTACAGCTCTCCTTGGAGAGCTAGCCAGAGAGCAGATAAAACAGAGGAAGAAACACTGTATTTATTTTCCAAAACTGTTGGGGGAAGGTGTTTGGAAAAGAGAGAAAGGAGAGGGAGAATGTGTTTGGTTTGTAAAATGATAAAAAAGGGACTGAGTGTATTGTTCTATGGCTCAGTAGCAATTCAAAGAAGATAGTGCAAAAGGCTGCTTGCTTTAGCAATCTATCAACCAGAAATCTTTATTAACTGAACCTCTCACTCGACTACAATATGGCACTAATAGATGTTCGAAAATGATGACCCTGATAGACTGCAAGATCCGAAACAGCTTTCTGAAACAAGAGAAAAAAGATGAAATGAAGCTTGGTATGGTTTGTGACAAGTGTATTTTATTGTATTCTAATTTTTCCCAAACAAGCAATATTTTTGTCATCTGTTGTATGGGGGTGATTTATACGCCATCTAATAACTCCCTACCCATCCTATCACTAGAACGATACCTTTGCCTGATTATGGTTGGTATCAGGGTTTAATAAATACTCCTTTTCTCTGGACACGCTTTCCCCGTTGCTTGCTTCCGTGTTCCCGAGCCCTGGGCTTTATGCCTGTCTCTGCCAGAACGTGACCCGAGGGTCCTCCACTATCTAGAGTCTTCCCCAAAGGAGCTGTCCCTGGCCCTTCCAACCACTCACCCTGCTTGCACACTTTCACGCTGGGGTGGAGGTTTTGAGGAGGGCGCTCTCTTTCTCTAAGACCACGAGGAAGGACACCGGCCTGGGTAGAAGGGAAGGAAAGAGCACAGCTCTTGGGAGGTAAGGCCTGGGAGCGCGGGGCGGCGACAGCTGAGTGGCGTGGGGCACGTGGCCCGACGGGAACAGGCACCGAGCCGCAGGGACCGCCCCGGGGACGCCCGAGACACAAAGCAGACCCCAGCTCGTGCCCGCCGGGCCCCGGATCCCTCAGCCACAGAGGAGGTTCTCCCGCCTTTATTACCGTCCCATTCCTCTCGCGCCCCTCCTCGGCCCGCACTTCGGGCTCCGCATACCACAGGGGTCAGACCCAAATAAAACCCGTACATGGACTCCATCCTCGGGGCACAGCCTTAGCTTACCACCTCGGACCGAAGATGGCCCCGGCTCTCACCTCCCTTCCCCACCCCCGAATCTCTGCTTGTAAACACCAGTCACTTGGTAACACCCTCAATCAGACGCCTTTGGGCTATTATTCATCACCGACTAACCTTCAACCAACTTCATCTTCACAGGCCTCCCCCCAGAAGAGAGGAAATTCCACAGCTCTGAGGTGATGTGAAACGTGTTCTGCACGCCCCGGCTCTCTTTCTTTCTCTCTCCCCAGCCAGTTCCCAAACTGGGTTTCCCGGGCCCCCCCTGGACGCGGCCTTCCCCCGTTCTCCCCCCCCCCTCCACCCCCCTCCCTTCTTTCCCTCTCCATTTTACACACTGTAACCTGATAGGCTGGAAATGCAGCCTCTTTCATCTTCCATTTCCCACATCCTGAAAGTCCGGAGAGAAGGAGCCCACCCAGATAAAGGCATTCCAAGTATGCGCATCCCCCTCCCCCTTTAACTCCATTCACAAAGCAGATTACTAAAGGCCCGGGGCTCCAGGGAGGCCCTAGGCCCCTCCCCCATCCCGGCGCCCCAGCCCCCCCTACCCCCAAGAGTTTACTCATTCCAAGCCCTCACTCCTCACCCGCACAAAAATCTAAGTCCACATGCCTAGAACCAAAAATTAACTTTTCCCTGGACTCTGATCCTAAGGGAAGCTTTCAAACTTCACTCTGATTGGGACCGCAAGGGCTGGAGATTCTGCCTACCATTCATCTGTCCCGGAGTTAGCGTTTCTAGATAAGAAGGCTCAGGGAAAATGTGGCTTTGGACCAGGGGGAAGAGATACAAATGTAACATGTAATGTTTCAAGAGGACATGCTCATGTCTTCGGGAAAGATCACAGACTGTTCTAACCCAGAGACATTTCCTTACAACAGAAATTGTTTGGAGGCCAGAGGAAAAGATGCTTCATTTGAGGGGATAGGCGGAGAATGGGGGCTTGTGTGTCTGTGTCTGCGGAGGGAGGTTCTGGTAGCATTTTTGTTTAGAAATTTCTTGAGTCCAAATATCCTACTATAGTTCTTCACTACCTGTAAATTAGTGATTAGAAAACACGCCCCCAGCTCAGTTCTTTAGTTGCCTTGCCCTGTCCTGAGCTGTCACCGACAGGGAAACAGAGGGCAGGAACAGCCTCTCTGACCTCAACCTCAAAGGTTAGGAAGCACCCCCCACCCAAGCATCCCCTTTCATTAAGGATGATAAACTATCTTATCCGTCCTTCAGGGAGAGTGGGAAAGATACTTGAATCTGTACCAGGTCTGGCATAATCAGTTTTCTGAGTTTACCAGTCACTGTGTGAAACAGGATTTCCTGTGTCAAAGAATGCTCCCCAATCCTGATACCACGGCGTATATTTAATAGATTATAAACCATATTGTCTTTGCAACTCAGGAGAGCTAACATGCTCAATGCACTAGCATTGGACTGAAAATATGCTAAAATCCTGGCACATGTCAGTGCACTGGGTCATGAATTCAGTAGATCTAATGATTACCCAAGAAGTCTCATGGAATTCCAAGAAGAATTCAAGAGCCCAGACCTGGGAGATACAATCATGATGATAAGAAATTACAGACTGTGGCAGGACAGCACCCCTGTGGTGCTGAGGAGAAATGTGTACCGCAGCTCAGCTCCAGGACTGGCCCACGTTTGCAACCCCCATGGAAGGTAGCCTGCTCCCCATACCCAGCTGGTAAGAGGCTCCTTCATGGGCTCAGCCTCCTTAGCCAACAGCAGCACAAAGGGATGCACTGGGATGCTTGCAACTCTGAGCAAGTACTATTCTCTCGGAGCCTCGGTTTCCTTCTCTGTAAAATACGAATCCTTGCTAATCCACGTGTGATCCCCAGATCCGCAGCGAGGCTTTACCTGGGCGCTAGCTAGAAATGCAGAATTCCAGGCCCTAACCCAACCGACAGCATTTGAACAGGATCCCCAGGTGATGCCTGTGCACCTTACAATCTGAGATGCTCTGGCCTAGCCTCGGGATCTTGACGATCCTCTTTCCAGGTCTGAAATTGTCTGATCTCACTAAGTGGTTTCCAGGGCGGTTTTTCTTCGCTGATAAATGGTTTTTCTTCTTTCCTAAGCCTCCACTGTTGGCACTGACTGTCTCTCCTGCCAAGGAACTCCAGTTTCAGTAGGCATCGGATTTGCATGAGGAGCTTGTTTAAAATGCAGATTCCTGAGCCCCATCAAGAGACACTGACTAGGATTCGGTGGGGCCAGAAAATCTGCATTTCAACCAGTTCCCGCCAGGTGGTTCTACAGGTTATGGTTCCCGGATTACACTCCTTTCTTTGACTTTTTATTATGGAATATTTCAAACATAAGAAATAGACAAAATAGTAATAATGAGCAATCATGTTTCAAAACCCAGCTTCCACAATGATCAACTCAAGATCAATTTTGTTTCGCTCAGATTATATTTTTGAAAAATGATTGCATCTAGACCTTCCCAGTCTTCTGAGTTCCCCTCGCCTAACTGCCTGTAATCCTTTGGTTTTTTTTTAAGTAATCTCTCTGCCCAACAGGGACTCAAACTCACGACCCCCGAGATCGAGAGTCACGTGCTCTGCAGGCTGAGCCAGCCAGGTGCCCCTGCCTGGAGTCTTTTAAAGCTCAGCTTGTTCACCTTGAGAACAAGAGTTGTGTCATATTGTCTTGGAGTCCCTAGCACCCAACACTGTGCCTGGCACATGTAGGCACTCAGAGAATGTATGCAATAGTACATTAAAAAGAAATTTACAGTAAAATAATTATCGTCTACCTGGATGGTTTAAGATGGAGGTAAACGGGATTACCTGATCCCCCATTTTTTCAATTATTTGCCTGTGATGCCTTTTTCAGTTCTAGAAATTAAGGCCTCAAAATGCATCTTACCAAAGTGAAAGAACTGGCAGGAAGTTTCCAGAGGTCCTTGTTGACGTCCCTTTCCTCCTGGTTTCAACATTCCGTAAACGATTTTGTGTTTGTGTGTGTGCGGTAAGAGAAAAGGTAGGAAAATAGCTCTGGGGAACGAGGATATCATCTCATGGCCTGTTTTACTCTTTAACCTGGTAATAAATCTCTTTAAAGTTCCTGAGGTATTCAGAATATCCTGTCCGTGGCAAGGTCTTCCCACAGTCGTGAAAGGTATTCAAGTTTCCTAGGTGGACAGTGTGATGAGATCCCAAAGGCACAGTCTTGCCCTTTCTGACCATTCGTAAACGATGAGGCTCAGTCAGCTAACTCTCAGATGGGTGTGCTAAATAATAGGAGGGAGAGTGAGGGAAGAGGCAGGACCAAACTGAGAAAAGCTCGCCAGTTCCAGAACTCAGCACAACAATCAAGGGATAAAGCAGTAATTAGGCCTGATTATCATGCAAGGCAGCCCCAGTTAAATTGGAATGTAGCCGGAGAGACGAAAGGCTGGATGGAGAGTTTGCTATGCAGGAGACACGCTTTGATGTCTGCAGGGAAGGTTGTGTTTCATTCAGCCCTCCAACCAACCAAAAAAATGTTGCAGGAGCAATATGAAACCTTCTAAAATGCAGCAGACGGGAAGCTGGAGTGGAGAGCAAGGGGCTGGGTCCAAATTCCCCTCATGAGTGAGTGTGTGTGTGTGTGTGTGTGTACTTATACACGCCTCTTTTCTCAGATTTACCGCTCCAGCCTCTTGGATATGTCAGAAGACAGGAAAAGAGAAAAGGAGCGCACGCTCCAACTATTAACTCGCCGTCCTGGGCTTGGCACACTCTTAGGACGAGGGAGAATGTGTTGAAGCTTGGGGCAGGCTTTTTACCAGCTGTGCGGAGAAAGCAGAGGAAACCGAGGTAAATGACTGTGTGTGTCCCGGAGAGGCCCTGAACTCTGCTGACTGATGCAGATGGAGTCTTCTGAGGCTGCCAGCTACCAGAGCTTTTGACCAACTGATGTAGGAAGAAGAAAATGAACCAAGGGCGCCTGGGTGGCTCAGTTGGTTAAGCGACTGCCTCCGGCTCAGGTCATGATCCTGGAGTCCCGGGATCGAGTCCCACATCAGGCTCCCTGCTCAGCAGGGAGTCTGCTTCTCCCTCTGACCCTCCCCCCTCTCATGTGCTCTCTCTCTCAAATAAATAAATAAAATCTTTAAAAAAAAAAAAAAAGAAAAGAAAATGAGCCAAGAAAGTAGGTTAATCTCCCAGAGGAACACAAAATAGGTAGCAAGTACCATTTTTACACCTTTCCCTCTTTAATTGCTTCCAACCCAGAGCTGTGAAGCCCAAGGAATTCCTTTTGTGTCCTTACCTTACCTTGTAGGGGTATCCCCGATCTAATACGGTGTTTTTGTACCTGGGCTCATTGCTCAGCTAGGTGCACTCCCCAAAGCAACCCACAACTTCCATTTCCATGCAAGGGTTTTTCAGTGCAACTTGGTATTGGGAGAGATCAGCTTTTTATCAGCTTTTTACTGAGTCACTGACAGGAAAATAATAGTCAGGTTTGTAGTAAGATGTCATCGTGTTACTGTTTTACTCATTCACAGGGTGTTCACCGGAGGAAGTGGGATGTGCAATCTTGATTTTGCATGAAGACAGTCTGTGAAAATACAAAATACAGAGACTAAATGCAATTTCTTTTTCTCAGAGATTTCCAAAATAAGATCCTCTCACCGCTATGATATACCATCCAGACAGGCAGTTCAGTTATTTCTTTTCAAAAGGGATGAAGTAAGTTGCTGATCACGTTATCTTGAAGGAACCAAAAGAGCGTGGATTCCATATCTAACACATTGCTTCTTCGGTTTATCTCAGTTTTTGCGTCTGCTTTTGCAAGAGACAATCCACAGAATCAGCTGTTTTTGCTGTGATTTCTTTTGTACCCCAGTTTACTCTTAAGAACTGTATAAAATAATAATGACATGTATTTACCATCCAGAAAAGAGACCACGGAATAACTACAGGTACAAACTTATTGCTTCTATCACTACTGACATTGCTACAATACTTTAGAAATTGTGTGAGTGAAGGATGACTCTTTGATGTAACAGGCTGTTCCTTTTTTCTGCCCCCCACCCCAACAGTGTCACTTGATTTAGGAGAAACTACTGCATCCCTTCTATAAAATTCCCTGAAATTACTCTTGTGGTGTGCAGCATAAATTTAGGATAAATAAATTGCACAAGATTGAAAATACCCTTTCAGCTATCTTATTTCATATAATAAATGAAAATGAATTGTGGAGTTTTGTTTTTACTCAGCATAAAAAAAAAGAGAGAGAGGACAGGGAGGAAGAAAGAGTCTCTTAGCAGCTGTGTGTTTTTTTAAAATAAGAAAATAGCATTCCCCGGAATTTCCAGTAAAACCCTTAAGATTTAGGCAGTTCATCCCTAAAGTATGTGTGGGATGCTGGGAGCTCCCTGGCTTTTCCAGGCAACCCCCCCCCAAAAAAAACACCCCACAAAAAAACAAAAGCAGATGGGCTGCATCTGAACGAATCAAACTCCCCAAGGGCTGGAGCTCTCTGCTCTAAATGCTAATAGAGTGAGTAATCAGAAACCTACATTTGGTAAATTATTTATCTTATCTCTGGAACTCAGCACAGCATAGAAGACAGCAACTTCTGTAGAAAGATGTTGTTGGTCAAGAACTCCAGCTGGAATTTGTACTTTTACTAGAAAAGGGAAAAGTTCAGAGACCAGTGTGGCTCATGAAGCAATACTTTTTTTTTTTTTTTTTTTAATGACCAAATGCAAAGCCAAGGAAAACTGACATCACAGTTCTGTGGAACAGGTCTGGTTCATGTTTTGTCTAATGGGCCTTACGTTCCATCTGTATTAGGGTAATGGCAAAGCAAACCAATAGATATTAAGGATCCCTGAAGAGTGGGGAGTAAGTTCCCTTGCAAAGGGCAGCCAGCCAGAGTTACTGGCAGTAGCTCTGAAACTTAAGCTTCCTGCATCAGAATCACCTGGAGGGCTTTTTTTTTTTTTTAAAGATTTTATTTATTTATTTGACAGAGACATAGCGAGAGAGGGAACACAAGCAGGGGGAGTGGGAGAGGGAGAAGCAGGCCTCCCGCGGAGCAGGGAGCCCGATGCGGGGCTCGATTCCCAGGACCCCGGGACCATGACCTGAGCCAAAGGCAGACGCTTAACGACTGAGCCACCCAGGCGTCCCTATCACCTGGAGGGCTTTTAAAAACTCAGATTGCCATGCCTCACCCTCAGAATTTCAGATTCTGTAGGCTTGCTGGGGTGGGGCCTGATAATTTGCATTTATGCACTTTTGAACAAACCTCCAGGTGCTGCTCTTGCTGGCTCGGGTACCACACTTTGAGAAGCACTGGTGGGGGGGGCGGGGGGTGTCTTTCTGCAGTAGCATTTAAGCATCCTTTCTCAAATGAAATATGTAGATTTGCAAGGTTAAGGGCTATGATTGGGATTTCGACAGTGGAATTAGCCCCAGTAATGAATCTTAGCCCTTTCACATACAAAATATATTAACTAGATAAATCAATTCCATCTATGATGAACATTATACTGATAGCATATACACTTGCTTTGTGTCCTCCGTAGTCCCAAGCACCTTGGGGTTCAGTAGAACTGAGCAAATAAAAAAGTAGAGGCTTCATGTGAATAAATACGGTTGTATAATTCACATTCATACTTACAAACACCTTAAAAGTTTTGTTTTTTCTCTGTATAAGACTTCGATGGTTCATCCACATTGTGAACTCAATTCCAATGGATTGAATTGTGCAATCACAGGAACTCAAACAATTCCTTTGCTTTTGCTTCTTTCCTTCACAGAACAAATATATTTGGAGCGCATATTGTAGGTATGGATAACAGACAACAAAAATATAACACAGGGTATCAAATCTAAGGGGAGATGAGACTAAATGATACAAACCACATGGGTTCAAGGAATTCCCCACCAAGTGTTGTAGCCAGGTAATGCTTTCACAGAAGGAGGCACTTGAGTTGGGTCTGTTCAAAATCCTTCTATGGCTTTCAGTCACCCCTCAGATAAAATTCATACTCGACAGAATGGCACACACAACTGTTTATGATCACCTATGGTTACCGGTTCAATTAGATTTCTCTCTACTCCTTTTACATCCCAGAGGCCATACTCAGCAGCAAATTTCAAGTCTATGACAGTGCAGGGCACCTGGCTGGCTCATTCAGAAGAGTGGGTGACTCTTGTTCTCATGGTTGTGAGTTTGAGCCCCATGTTGGGTGTAGAGATTACTTAAATAAATAAATAAATACAAATGTTTTTTAAGAAGTTAAAAAAAAGTCTTTTTTTGTTCAAAATTTTTAAAAAGTTTGTGATGTGTAAATTTCAGATCTAACTGCAATTGACAATTAATCCTCTACCAAGCACCCTCCCACTTTCTCATTTGGGGGTAGACTACAGAGCTCTTTGGAAGGAGTGCTTTAGGGGGCAACTGCAAATGACTGCCTCATGATCCTTTGAACTTCGCTTCAATGAGCAGTCTGGTGTGTACACAATGAGTTTCACCATCCTTACTTTGTGTGCTTTTTGTGACAGCACAGATCCAACTGAAAAGATAACCATTTTTCTTTAACCTCACAGCAATGCAAACTTTACCTCTATTTTAGGCTTCTAAATTTTGGACCCTACTCACAACGATACGGTGGGTTTTTTCCTCTAATGCAAATTCGTGACTCTGGGTGTTTACACATGCTGTTCCTTCTTGCTGAAATTTGAATTTCCCTAACCTGTCCTTTGACTGTTGGATTCCTCTCTTCTATTTATGTTTCATAACCCACATCAGGTGCTACCTCCTCTCTGAAGCCTTCCTCGACCCTGGAGATAAGGTTTAGAGGGTGTCATAACTTTCTTTGCAGACTATGTCCTAACTCTAGTCACTGTAGAATAAGTGTTTGACTGCGTGAGAGGCGCTTTTTAAATGTTTGTGAAGAAACGAGCCAAAATAGAGAGAGGCAGTGTATAAGCAAAGAGGGATGGGAAAATGCAAGTCTCACTCTGGGGACAGCAAGTTCCATCCTGCCCTTACCCTCTCCTCACATCATCAACGGAAAAGAAAGACATGCAATTATGGGCAGACCTCAGAATAGTTGGGTCTTAGTTTCCTCATCTGTAAAACTGGGCTAATGACAGTACCTGCCTGACAGAGTGGTTGGGTTGGGGGTGGGGCAAGTGTTTGTAAGGCACTTAGCACTGTTCTTGGCACATAAAAAGAGCTCAGTAAATGTTAGCCATTATTTGCTCTATTAGACGAATTCCATACTTTCATGGGGAGTCAAATGGCTTACTAAGGTGATGTTTCATAGGTACCTGAGTAAGTAACTGGGATCAAACCTATTACCCAAATTTAGACCCAAGATATAGGTGGCACTTTGGGGCTTTTCTGCGTTACTGATGAGTCTGAGAATGAACAGTTCAACAGTGAGATCTCCTGGGACTGAGACTACCCCAAAGATGCAGGTGGGGGAAGGAAGGGGTAGTGCATGATCTGTCTCCATACCAAAATGGCTTCATGGAGAGAAATAGTTTTGTTTTGAGTTCTCCAGGGAACATGGTGAAGACCAAATGAAGGGAAGTTCTAGAGAAACAGGTTTTAACTTAACATTTAAAAGCTTCCCAACAAGTATAGCTGTATGGCACAGACTGCCTTGTGAGGTAGTAAACTCCTTTTAGCAGAGGTAATCAGGGTCTGGATAATCAAAAAGGATGTTCTAGGATCCTCAACTTTAAGATTCTTTTTTTTTTTTTTTATTTGACAGAGAGAGACACAGCGAGAAAGGGAACACAAGCAGGGGGGAGTGAGAGAGGGAGAAGCAGACTCCCTGCTGAGCAGGGAGCCCGATGCGGGACTCCATCCCAGGACCCTGGGATCATGACCCGAGCTGAAGGCAGTCGCTTAACCAACTGAGCCACCCAGGCGCCCCCAACTTTAAGATTCTTGATTCAGAAATATGAAAGGCTGTTAAGTTTCTGTTCCAACCATGAACTTGGGAGTTCAAAGACTTGGCTTCAAATCTCATTTCCCATTTGACTGTGGGATAGTTGCTTAACCTACCTTTGCCTCAGTTTCTTTATCTGAAATGGCGGTAACAACGCCTATTTTCCTCAGTATCAGC